AATTAATAAAGAGATTGTAAAGAAAGAAATTATTAATACAAATTAAGTGTGTAAGATCTGATTTAAAAATTCTTATCATTATCGTGATTAAAAACCGGTAATATAAGAATATTCTAATTATATATGAAGATAGGGAAAAAATAAAAATAAAAAACACGTGAACTTTGTATTTTTTGCCGACCAATTTGACATAGTAAAATTACAAACTACCCCATTCCTAAATTAAAAAAAATAATAATAAGATTTTGAGAAAATCATTTAATCATCCTCTCTCCCTTGCACATTTGTTTGCTTCCTCTCTTTAAGTTTCTTCTTCCTCGCACTCGATGCTAGCCACGCTATTGAACCCATCCGTCGATCTCCTCCTCCCACAACCCCGCACATAGCCATCTCCTCGTTAATCCCACTAGTCCCGAACCTCCTCACGGCTCATCACACCTCCTCGACCCAAAAAACCACTAGTCCCGCAGCTCGTTGTTCGATCAAAATGCCTAAAATCAATCAAGCCACCGCACACGTAATAGCATTGGACACGTAAATGATTTTTGAAATTTTATTTGGTGTGTCTAAGCATGGCTCGAATTTTGGAGAGTTTAGAAAGGAAAAAAATAAAGGATGAAAGAGAGGAAATGAAGGTAAAAAAAAACAAAAGAGAGAAAAATGAAAAAGAGTTGTTCGAACATTTCACCATCTCGCGTTTATCACGTGTGCTCGAGATTTGATCAATGGATTTGGTGGACTTGATTACAAACTAAAAAATAGTTACGGTACTCGAATTGAAAATTTTTTAATTTGGGTTACTAGTTTATGGTCAATGCATAGTACGAGCATTATTAAACCAATTTGCCATACATTGAATATTGTGTAATATTGCTAAAATGTGGGAATCTATATGCTACCGCCTATTGTCAATTAAGGACCATATTTGGATGTTAATCCTATTAATTAACGTCGCAGTTTTAAGGTCAATTAAGGTGGCAAAGGTGGTACACCAACCTTCCATAGACATAGTGATGGGTATTTGAGTTTGCTACAAGTCGTATCAAATTTTCTTTAATATTAATGGTGTCAATTTTTATTACTCGAAGATATTAACATATTTATGCTTAAAAATAATTTTTTAAATTTAAGTTAATTGATCCATCTAATTTTGTATATTACAAGTATTTTCTTATGTGTTCTTTCCAAGACTTTTTATTTTTCTTTTTATGATTATTTCTATATTTATACTTTTTCCATATACCTTTTTATTATTGCTTTTAGACAACCATCAACGGAAGATTAAAAAATTTAAAATAGGAAAGAATGAAAAAAAATTTTCCATTTTAAATAGAAAAGTAATTGGATATTAATAAAATAAAAGGCAAATAACTTTCATTTTTTTCTATTACAAAACATGTACATACTTTGCTATTGATATGTCAATAACAAAATTAGACCATGGAACTTTATTGTTTATATTTTTTATAAAGTATAGGAAGAAGGAATTTATTTATTTTTAATTTAATAATTTTATATTTTTAGTATTATTTATAAAGTTTGATCAGGATATTGCATTATTAGAGATTAAATTTGCTAGGATACTAATTTCATAGTGTATGACTAATTAAAGGGAGAAAAACTTCAATCCCATCCAAATTAACTTTAATATGATCCTAAAAGCAAAGCATTTTAACACCCCATTCTTTGAAGCACCAAATCAAAATCAAACTAGAGGCAGTGGTCTCCTTTTAAGATTAGCCACCCGTAACCCGACTTCTTCGAGACTTGTATCCAGATCTGCTAAACTCTCTAACAAGAATCCAATCTAGTTCGGACCTATAATTGTCCTATTGAAATTAGAGTGATGAAGTTGGATTTGTGTTTTCTTGTTGAGTCCGTAAGGACTCTAAAATTATTTTTTTAAAAACCACTTTAGTATTTTTTATTGGTCTTGACTAGTGGAGTCTTCTTCAACCTTATATAACCATAAATTTCTACTAATTTATATGTTTATGATGCATGCTTTGACGTTTTGAATCTCTCATATAAGAGGTCCAATTCGTGGGAACTTGATCTTGTTGAAAAGCTTTTGTTTCATACTTTTTGTACCAATAAATATTGGATAGTAATAAACATTAATATTGTTGTTGCTCATTGAATTTGGTCTTAAATGTGGTGTAAATCGACACTTTAATTTGTAACCAAGTACTTCGCGAGGAAATAATAAAGGGTTCAATGCTCCCTAGTAAACCACTAGGAATTTTATGTGATATTTCAATTTGAGTGATAAAATTTAAAATAAAAAGAGAATATTATGATAAAATAAGATATAAATATTATAAATTGGAAGATACGAAACTTACATCAACAGTTTTGGATGATGCCATTTGATAATACTTTAGTAAAAAATCCTAAGTTACCGAAAAAAAGAATAAACGCTATTGATCTACTTTACGAGAATGTAAGGTTATTCTAAAGGATAAAAGTAAATTGCAGAAGCGACCTTTTTGTTCGCCTTCTTTTTGTCTTTTTTCCTTTCTTTTAAACTATGGTCAATTGATAATTGTTTGGAATCTCAAATTTGGGGCGAATAGTTATCGGGTTTTATCTTTTTTCTGTTTGTCGACATCGATTGGTTTGTGAAACCAAACAGATGAAACAAAATCTTTATTTCATCGATATCGATTGGCTTGTAAAACCAAACACATCGCTTTATTTCATACTTCGTTTTATCAATATTGGTTGGTTTGTAAGTCCAAACGCATCGTTTCATTTAAAGTTTTCAAATCTATGTCCGTCGATATTGGTTCATTTATGAAACCAAACTTATCATTTCATTAAGATTCTAAGAATGCATCGTTCTAGTTAAAGTGCAACGTTTTAATATGTAATGTCGATTCCAATCGACATATGGCTTAAATTTATATATGCCAACACATGCCCCCTTTAGAGATGAAACGAGGAGTTTCTTCTCCGATGGATAAATCATTAAATGCCTATAAGACATGATGAGACTATGCGACTCCCCATCTTTCTAAAGGAGATTACTTTATGTAGCAATCCGACGTTTCATTTTGCCAAATCCGAACCATCGAGTTTTAAAGGTGAAATCATCATGACCTTTCAATGTATGTGATATACCTTATGATTTTACACTCTTTATGATTCTCCTTACTTTCTACAAAAAGTTTTTTCAAAAGCGCTTCCCGGCTTTTGTCAAATACTTTCTTCGCTTTGGGATTTCTTTCTATTCCATTAGAATGGCTCTTAAAAGAAACCCAAAACCTTCCAAGAAGTTTATACGGACCAAAGTATCTCCGTTAACCGACTCGTCGTAGATTATAAGAGCTTTTTGTTCAACCCAATGGGATCGAGTACTTGCCTCATTCAGACTATTACAAATAACCAAGTCGTCGATGTCTCGGTAGGGTTTAAGGAAAACCCCGAGAGGAGTCCTTATCTAACTCTAAGACCTACGATCAATGCTAATGTAGTGCTTTTATTAGAGATGATTGATTCGGCTTACCCAAGAACTACCGACGTTGGTATCATTTTTTATCCTACATTTTATTCCACCCTCCAAAATTAGACTTAGAGTGCTAAAGCATTTCTAGCGATTTGGCCAAGATCGGATGCTAAGTATGAGGCTTGGGTGAGCAAGAGGCTTCTTCCTCGGTTGGGCAAAAAATAAGAAACAATAGGGATTCGTGAGGCCATTATAATGTCGACTCAATCATATTTTCCTAACCTTAGTTTGGTCACAACTTTGGTCCCTTTCTAGAACCCCTACATCAACCAATTCAAATTCCCGAAAGGCCATATGTTAATGACCCTATTAGATGTCATGGTTATTACTTGTTTACACCTTTCTAACTAAACTTTGGCCTTTAAAGCAAATGATGCAGGCCTTAAGGTCTAAGAAAAAAACAGGCTCCCAACAAGCATATGATCGGCTAGTGGATCGATGTGGAGGTGGGCCAACGATATCCCGAAGACGAGGAGATTGATTTCTACTTGCCGTGGATTTGCAAGTACATCATGGGTTCCAAGTTGAAAAAACCAATCAAGGCATTTTTACCCTAGGCCATCAACTCGGCTACATTCGATGGAATCGAACCGGTTGTTATGGGTCTAATTCTCCTTGCATATGCATTTGCAAACCTTCATGATGCATCGACCAAAAGGTTCAAAAACTTATCCCGTCCTCTTTGGTTTACCTAGATGTGGGGCAAATTCTATTTCCTTGCCTTGTGCGGACCTCATCCGATCCGGGACGATTTGGAGAGTTATGGCCATTCATTGCTTCATAACACACAGCCAACCTATTACTCTCCTCGAAACTATGAATCACATTCTTGATCTAGACAACCATCAAGCAACCTTAGATGATCGGATGCAATTCCATGCTCACGGCTATGGATCGTTGTTATTTCGTTCGAACAAATTACTTCGTAAGGTATAATTCTCTCGCAGGTGAGCACTCGTCTAGAGTTCAATACCGGTAAGTCAAGACTTGACTTACTCTTTGAGAGATTCAATCCTTGCTCGAAGCCTATTCTCCAAACCTTTATGCTTGACAATTCGAGTTGTTTCAAACAGTGGCAATGCCATTGTATACAACCATAAACCAACCCCGGCAAACGAGGAATGACATCAAGAATTTTCTAAAGCAAATTGATGAGAACAAATCCTATGTCCTTGCCAATACTTAAGACCTTCGTGGTTATCGCCTTAATATTGGAGTGACTTCAACATTCATCGCAATGTGATCGGTGTTTTGGGGCAACAATTTTCCTCCTTTATGCTTAAGAGGATTTACTCCGGGTAATTACCGGTGTATCGATACGGATGGAATTGAAACCAACCGATGGTGGATTGCTCGTAAAACCGATGGGTTTTCTATTCTTTCTATCATTCTTAAGTTTAAAAAAAAATGAGATAAAATTCATTTTTCTTGGTTTTACCTATTGATAATTCTACCAAAGAAGCTAAATCGAGAAAGAGAAAACTTATTTTACTCGATCCATCTTCGGATAATTCATCTTTAAAGGGACCAATTGAGCCATTGCGTAGACCTCCGAAAAGACTATTATCGATTCCTCTAGATGCCCCGGTTCGATAGGCCCTACCATTAAAGGTACTCCTTCTAGGCTAAAGCTTCCACCTTCTTCTTCCTCTTCTTCTAAAGAGGAAAGAGTCCAAGCCGAGCCGTGTGCTCAACCTTTACAAGCGACCATTCCGGACTTTGAAGGATTCTCACTAGAGGAATAAGAAGAGGTAGCTATGTAAGAAGTAATAAGATTCTTTATCTTTCGATTTGCCATTATTGTCTTATCTTTGACACTCGATTTTCTTCGAGTCCTTAGCTCTTTGTGCGATTGAGAAGATCTAAAAGGGATTTCGACAACCTTCTTCTCTTGTAGAGATTATTGGTCAAACTTTAGAATCTATACATAAGATTTACGAGTTTGAACTATTCCTTCGATCGTGAGGTCCATCTAGGCCTAAAGTGGACCAAGTAGGTTTCTTTTAACATCCTCCTTGTTTTGCAACAAAATTTGTTTTCTTACATTATTTGATCATTCTCGTTAGGTAGTCGATCCCGAATCAACTTCTCTCTTTAACAAGAATCTTGACATCCGGATCCATCCGAGTACGAGTAATGACCTTCTCACTATCAAATTACTAATTCATTTTCTTCAATTTTTGTATACTAATTGGAGTGTTTTAGTTTTTACCTATTGGGCCGGAGATATCATTTAAAGAACCATTACAACCCTTTCGAGGAATTGTTTTTAGGTCCTCGGGATGAAGTAGGCGTAGGAGATCCTATCAATGAAACACCTAGGGGACTTACAATGAATCAACAATACAAGTAACATATAGAAAAGCCTATTTTAGCGAAAAGACACATAAAAAGGCCCGAGATTGTCATCATTGAACTCCTTATTAAAATGGAGATAGAGGGTTTAGAAGAGACACCTTCTTTCGATGCTCCCGATATCTCGACCCAAAGGCCTTTTGAAGTGTTGAACCCTTTTGTTAATGTTTCGGATGTTCCTCTTTCGTGGGATCCACCTACATCTTTGGCGATCATGTAACCAATGCTTATGGTGGTTACGACCATCCCGAAGCGATCGATATTCAAGTTGTAGGTCCTCACCATGGTCCCGATGAAAGGGTTAATGAAGATGGGGTGGTTTCAACTCATATTACTAAGGTCGAACCCGATCAATTTAGGGAAGCTTCCACTCAATCGGATATTGCTTTGAATCAATAAATACAAGTAGTGTCTTCTTTGGTTGTAGCGGGGCCCTTAGAGTCTTAGAAACTCAATTTTTTTCCTTCCACTAGGTTTTTGGATCTTCTTAATTTCCTCAATTCTCTTTCCCTAGACATCTATGATCGAGATTCTCTTGATGTATTGAGAGATATGATTGTAGTGGTTTTAAAGAAAGAACAAACCATGTAAGGCTCTTTGGAAGAAAACATTCAAGTTTTTATGAAAGGAACCCCTACTAAAACTCGCCACGAGTGTTGAGGGAGGAACAAGCTGAATTAGATCAAACCAGGGCTTGTTTAGATAAAGAGATTGCAAAAATGAGGTAAAAGTTAGTTGAACCGGAATCTGCTCGATCTACCCTAGAACCCCGAATTGTTGATGTCAATGAGGATTTATATAGGTGGCGAGAGGCATGACTTTATACGTAGGCAAAGGCTTAACGAGTCGAGCCTTATATAGGCTTTATATATTATTTTAGATATTCTCAAGAATAAAGCTCAAAATAAATAGTTTTTGTAACAATTGCTAATAATTACCTATTTTAATTCCAAAGAGATGTCTTCGAATTAACTCGGTTGTTCCATGTTGTTCCGTGTTATCCTTGAGTTTCTCTATACATTCGTCGAATCTAGAAATCAAAATTCCAAAGTTTTTTTATTCGCTTCCCAGTAGAAGGAACATAAGGCTTTAAGTATTTACCATTAATACCCCTAGCCTGTTCCACTCCTTGGACGCTTTCTAATTTATAAGTGTTCCTAGAGTATGTCTCTTTAATTTGAAAAGGAGCTTCCCAATTAGGGGACCATTTACCAAATAAATAGTTTTTCTTTCCAATTGGTAATATGACTTTCCAAACTAAGTCCCTAATCGAGAAGTTTTTACTCTTAACTCTTCGATTGTAAGTTCATGCCATTCTTTGTTTTTGCATGCGAATTCCGTTTAGCCCTTGGATTCACCGTAAATTTAATGATTCTCGTTTCAACAAACATAGTGTCCGTATAGTAGATTCTAGACATTTCATTTTGTCTCACCACTCTTAGTGATTAAGCCACAATCTCAAATGGTAGCACAACATCATGCCCATAAGTTAAACGATGTGGACTTGTGCCAATACTCTATTTAAAACAAACTCGATGGGCCCATAAGGTGTTTTGTAACAAGTCATGCCAATTTCGAGGATTATTGCCAATCATTTTTTGGATGTTTCCTTCAATTATTTTATTTGATGCCTCTATTTATCCATTGTCTTAAGCATAGTATAGTGTCGAATTGATTATATTGAAGCTAAATTCTCTTACAAACCCCTACATTTCTACCTTATTAAAAACGGGAGCTTGATCGACAATAATAGTTTATGGTAAACCAAATCTATATATGATGTTTTCTTGAATGAAAAGAATAACCTCTTTTTGATTTATCGACTTCATAGGCTTCGCTTGTACCCATTTGGTGAAGTAGTCGGTGGCTACTCTTATATATGAATGGGATGCTCTCGAAGTTGGGTTAATTTTCCTAATTAAATCCATTGCCCATCCTCTAAATGGCCAAGGTTTGATTACCGAATGTAAATTAGATGCGGGAACCCGGGTATGTTGCCATGTTTTTGGTCTACATCACATCCTTTTGTGATTTCGATATAATTTTTTTCATTGATGGCCAAAAGAAACCATGTCGTCGAATCATCCACCTCATTTTTTCCCATGCTTGGTATAATCCATAGAGATCGAAATGGGATTCTCGCCATCATTCTCAAGGCTTTATCGGTATTAACACTTCGAAGCAGTATTCCATCAACACTCTTCTTGTATAGCTCATCTTCTTGAAGGACATAGTTTCTCATCAAATGCTTCATATGAGAATTTTGTCTTACTAGTTCGGGATTTGTTAAAGTTTAAATGATTTTATCTCTCCAATCGAAATGGATCGAAGGATTGAAATCATGTTGATTTTAACCAATTCTTTCTTTGATCAAAATTTAAGAGTACTTTGTCTTCAAGAGTGATTAATTCCTTGAATTTGGTTAAAGCAATTTGATAACCGAGTGGCCATTTATATCAAATCGTTAGCCAACTAATTTTCTTCCTTAGGGATATGTTCGATTTTGGTTACATCAATTTGGCTTAACAAATCTTTCACCTTTTTCAAGCAATGTTCCACAATGCCATTAATGCACTTGGCATGACCTAGTATCCGATTGATTACCAATTGCGAGTCTCCATATATTTTGATGGTGCTCACTCTTGCTAAGAGGTACTTGAGGATGATATCATTAGCTTGGCTAATAGGTGGGTAAGGCGAGATAGCCATTAGTTTGGCTAACATGATTGCCGGGAGATATTTGAGGATGATAGCCATTAGCTTAGCTAACGGGTAGCGCATGAGGCGGATAGCCATTAGTTTGGCTAATAGAATTACCGGGAGGTACTTGAGGATGATATGCGGGTAGTTGGGTAGGTGGTTAAGTAGGAGAGCCATAGGTTTAGCCATGATAGGTATGTGTGTACGGACTCGCGGTGGGTCTTGACAACTCCTATCGAATGCTCGTTGGAGATATAGTAGAACCTCTTTAAATTAATACTCGGTAAATTAATAAAATCTCTAAAATAATATTTTTCTTCGGTCCCGACTTGGGCCGATTGAAAAAATCATCAATTTCGATAAGATAATACAATAATAATTTTCAAAAAATCCATATATAAATATATGGTCCCATTAATATCACAAATTAATAATTCTTTAAAATTACAAATATAACTAAGATAATTTAGTGAAATATGATTCTAATGTTGTCCTTTTTTTCCTAAAACTTAAATCTAGTTGGCGTTCATCTCTAATTTTTCTTATCGCATCCAAAAGTTCCGTTGTTGTGTTCTCGAACCGCACCAAAAAATTATGAAGAGTCCTAGATGCGATAAGTGCTTCCTTACTCATAACTGGTTCCAAAGGCATTGTATCATCTTCAACTTCATCATCAACATTATTTTGAAGGATGGCATCCACAATTTCTTCTAAGCTCTAGACCTTTGAACATGTATCATTTTCACCCGGGTAATCCAACAGTGCTATTGACATCCATTTTATTACGATAAACAAGATCATTAATCATGACCTCAAGTTCATGAATGTCATTTTCACAAGTGGTTTCATCTAAATTCCTTGAGACTTCATCCCCCGAATGAATTTTGCGAGTGTTGAAAACAATTTACTATTGTCTCTTGTTGAACATTTATCATCCAAGCTCGAGACTGCAAGATTGATAACATCCAAAACATTAATCTTTCCTGGATCGGATTGCCCCAACTCATAGCCTTCTAATATCCTACGATAGAATCTCCTGCGATAGTGCATCTTGAAAGCTCTTATTATCCTAGCATCACAAGGTTGAATTTTTGATGTCATGTTGGGTGGTAAGAAAAACAACTCAACATTTTGTAGCCCTTCAATATTTCTTGGATGTCTTGGACAATTATCTACCACAAATAAAATTCTTCTACCATGCATTTTGTTGTCAAACCAACAAATATATTCATCAAAAAGCACACTTGTCATCCATGCTCTTTTGTTTGCATGATAGTGACAATTCAAGGTGTTCATGTTAACATTCTTGAAGCAACGTGGCTTTCCATATTTTCTAATAATCCATAAAGGAATTTTTTCAAAGCCATCCTCATTGTAACAAATAACAACCATGAGCCTTTCTTTGTCCTATCTTCTTCCTTTAAGTTGCTTCGTAGCAAGAGAATGATCGAGTTTGTAACTCCGTAAAACAAACCGAGTTTCGTCCATATTAAAAACATCTTTCATAGGGAAGCTGGTCTATTTTTTTCCTTATGGACTCCAATTTCTTCTCCATGTCCCGTATATCAACCAAACCACTCTCTCCGAAGTGACGAAATGACTTGATACCATGTCTTAGCTTGAATTTCTCAAGCCAACCTTGAGAAAAGTTATGCTCGGAATCTTGTTGAGGGTATAAAAGTTTCATTGTATCTCTTGCCTTCTCCAAAACTAGCTCTCCGGTTATATTAACATGGTCTTGGTACTTGGAGAAACCACTCATAAACAACCTTCTCCATATCCGGAAATTTTGTTGGTTTGTGTCGTTTAATATCCTTTCCTTTTTCTAAGTTAGTCGAAAGATACTCGGTTGATCGTTTGAGTGTGTTTGAAATTGTACCTTGACTAACTTTTAAACGAAACTTTTCATCAAGCCACAACTAGAGATCTTTTTGAGTGCATGTGGAATGATCTCTTTTCTACTCACATAATGTTTTCCATATTTGATCTGTCATTGTTGCTTTTGTGACACCTTTTAGATGAGAAGCCATTGTTAGGTATGGTTTCAAGAAGTTTTTTATCTTGTCTATAATATATGTATATGCTATCACCATTATGCATTGAATGTTTTTAGTAAAAATACAATGAATTGTATTTAATTATTAAGAAGCAATGAACATTATTTATTGTTTCTTAATAATTAAATACAATTCATTGTATTTTTATTAATGTTCGTTGTTTATGGAGGTTTAACTTATTAAGTAATATTCATTGTATCGTTTCTTAAATAATAATGTTCATTGTTTCTTAATAATTAAATACAATTCATTGTTTCTTAATAATAAATAGTAAAATGAATTTATTTTTTTATATTAATTCAATAAATATGATACATAAATTAGCTTGTAACCTCTTTAAATTAATCTAATCAAAATTCAACTTCATTGAATTCTGAAAACACTCTTTAAATTAATAAATATTAATTTATCGATAATTAATATCTCTATAAAATAATAAAATCTCATGGTTCCAACAATATTAATTTATGGAGGTTTTATCGTTGTAGGCGAATACCCGAGAGGAATGTACTGTTGCTCTAGTTGGACATGCTCCATGTCCATCTTCGACCACCTCTTTCCCTTTTCCTTTTGTCAAAAATACGAGGTGCCTAACATTTTCTCTCATTGATTGGGTGGCATTTGTAGCAGACGTCGAACCTTGGTTCGATGGTAATTTCAACTTCTTTGGCTACCTATTTAGCCAATGGGTAAATAGTCTCATTGAACAAGTGATTCATATCCGCAATCACTCTGTTGCTATTACAACGCATAGATTTTTTCATTTTGGCAGTATGGTGATTGGCCATATCCATGTTCTTTTTCAATGATTCGACTATGAAAGCTCTCATCCTACCGATGTCTTCTTCGAGTCGATTTGACACTAGCTACAAGTGTCAATTTTTTTTGAGTACCTACGTCCACTTGTTGGATCATAGATCTTGTGAAGCAATTCTTCCATTCGTTTCGATAACATTTATCAAACATCAAAATTTGGTTCGTTCATTACTATGTCTTGTCCCTTATCGGTAGAGGCATCGCTCCTTTCCGGGTTCATAGGCTCTTGACTTTTGATAGCAAATTTATTTCGACCATTGTTATGGCTTTTGTTTGCCATATTTTCAGATAATCTCTTTTGATCACCCATAGTCCGTCCACCAATGTGGTTTCCTGTGTTTCCTTTTTCTTTCGGAGGCATATTTTCAAAAACTTGGATCATTCCTTCGACGTAAACCGATTGTGTTTTGTCGAGTTGGTCTTCTCCGAGTGGTTGAATGTTTCATCATGCTTCTTGTAATACATAAATAAATTAATGTTACACTTTAACACAAAATTTTATCTTCTCTCAAGATTAATTCAGCCTTTCGCCGACCACAACTTTACTTAACAATCAAATAAACCATTAAAAATCACACTTTATTTACTACATACAAAACCAAACAAAAATTATGTCCATCTACCACAATTTTCAAACCAATAAACCTACTTAGTTAATTTAAAGCACACAAAAAAACTCTTCCTCTCCACTCAACCTTATCTAAATTGACCATACCACACTAACACAATATTTTTTTTTCAAAGAAAAACTAGTTTCTCTCTTAACCTTGTTTGGCCAAAAAAAAAACGAAATCCAACAAACAATTGTTCCCTTTAAGAATACCTAGCCAATAGCTCTTCAACTCAACAATGCTTCATTATGTTTCTCACCATTTCACCTTCGATAGAAAATACTGTCGCACTAAGAACGAGAGAAGAATTGAACTTGAGGATTCAAAACAGAACAACCGTGGCATAGTTGCTCTAGCATGATACTCTCAACCCATATGTTTTTCCTTTCTACTAAATGCACAATTTGTTGTTTCTACATTTATTAAACAATTAATCTATAATTTTCTTATATAATCAACACTACGGTGTCACAACTACTTGGATAAAACAATTTCTATATAATTAGCATATTTATAACAAATTTTTGCTCAACTATTTTTTGTTTATTTTCTAATAACATGATTTTCACAAACACCTTGCTATTTGTTTTCATAAAACAAAGATTTCATACTCTTCCATTTCTTCTCATTTTTTTTAAAACCTTAATAAATCAACCTATAAATTGCAAGCTTTATTTTTTGGATCCAATGTCTATTTAAGCACTTAATTTTTCCTTTCGGTGAAAAACCAATTTATTTTTTATCCTTGATGTTTTAAAATAATATCTTTGGTCCCTTGGGTAGGTCTAGGCATGTAGGTCCGCCTCTTTTCTTTTTTTTTCTTTTTTTTTTCCCTTTGATTGTTCCCATCAATTTGTTTTTGTTTTTTAAATTATTTAATTGGGTATGAAAATTACAAAAAACTAATTGTTATTTTTTCCACACAAACTAGCAATTATGGAAATATATGATATGATTTAAGATTTAAGATTTAATAAATAGATTTAATATATATATTGTTTAAATTTAAATATATATTACTCTTATTGTTTAAAATTAATCTCTTCAACTTTTCGTTTCTCATAAAAAATCTCATCAAATTAATTTTTTATGTATTTTTTCATAATATAATTTATTTTCTTTATGCTTGGATTTTTGAATAAATTATTTTGTACTTGGTTTTATTTGCTTATTCTTTACATACTCAAAATTTCAAAATAAAATTTACATGTTTTTTTTTCTTATCCTTTATATAATCAAATATTATCATAGTTAATTTTGTAGTTTATTTTATTGCACTCTAATTAATTTCAATATATATTTTACAACTTAAATTTTTTTAAAATATTGATTATTTTTTGCTATAGACTTTGATCCATTAAATATAGTTATGATGTGTGTGTTGCTATATATATATATACCATTTGTCTCCTATTGCTGTTTGTGTAGAAAATTATTTTCAATATACAAGCTGACTAAAGTTAGCAACTAAATGATCTTTTTGATGATACAGAAGTTTTACATGTTTTTAGATAAAATACTGTGAGATTTTATGTTTATTTGCTTGAACCAGAACAAGTGTCTCAGTTCTGTTTTTTAATGATTGTGTTTCTCATGCTAATTGTGTGCTCTACCAAGAAGAAGCAGGGAGTATCCGAGCCTATGTCCACAGTTTGTTCTTGGACTTCCCATTTTTTGCTCAACAATTCAACTAATCATTGTGATG